TATTTAATTAAAAAATATTTAATGATTTTTAGGGCGTAAGAGATTAACAAGAGCTGCTGATCTATAAAGAATAGGCTTAGTTGTGTAACTTGTGTTCAATTACAGTAAAATTGTGTGGTTAATAGTATAATCATGGTAAAATTTTTAATGTATCCTTAATTTATAAATCAATTTGTGTGAAATTCTTATTACTATTCTTTGAGTAAATACTCTGCTGTTTTTGTTTTGTTATTAAGAAAATTTTTAATGATAATGAAAGAGGTGTGGTTACTGAGTAATGTAGGCGTGGTTTATAATAAAATGGCTGCCAGAGGAGTAACTTGTAAAGTTCTCTGGGACAGTAAAGGGAGCCTGTTAGTAGAGTTTGATAACGTTACTGTATTGAGTAAGGTCAGTGGTATACATACCGTATATATTGTTATTAATAGTCCCTGTATAGTTTATAGGGACACCTCCTCTCATTAATTCATATATTAATATAACACAATACAACAGAATAGACTGTACTGATGTATCAAGTAAGTATTGTACTTCACACCCTACGCCTCCTAATATTGGATGAGGGGGGATTTTGGATTAATTTTTGATGATTGGCTGGTTTTAATTTGATGAATTTGTGTCCATGTACCATTGAGCATGTACATAATGGTACAAAATGGTGTGTTTAGTAAATGGCTGTCAAAATGCCAAAGTTTCTCGCTCCAAAATTACTTGTGTACTACCTTGAATATTTATTATTAATTTATTATTTTATTTATTTATTAGATGGTTTCTATCTTGAAGTGTTAAAGTATTCACCATTATTTATTAATGAGGAGGAGGAGACAAACATCACTAATAATAATAATAATAGACAAAAGTAAGACCAACTATTATTATTTATTGTTGTTTATTGTTGTTGTTTATAGTTTGGTTACAGTCACTGGTATTGTTGTATCTGTTAGTCCAGTCAAGAGGAACGGTTGTCATGGTGACATGATGTACTTTATCTCAATGAATGAGAACGAGAGATTACTATCAATAATTATAACAGTAATTATCATTATTATTATTATTATTATTATTATTATTATTATTATTATTATTATTATTATTATTATTATTATTATTATTATTATTATTATTATTATTATTATTACTATTATTATTATTATTATTATTATTATTATTATTATTATTATTATTATTATTCATAGGCCCCATCTTTATTCCATTATTCTCAGTATATCTCAGTTGGTGATAGAGCCTATACTATCACTAGTTTAAAACAGTGTCTAGTTCATAAAGGATCAGTAGAGGAGACTAGACTATTATCATCTACTGTACAGTCCCAGTGTATCCCTCAGTCTGAGAGTATTACTGATAATACACTACTCACACTCAAGGACTATGGAGCTAATCTACTCTCTTATACTGTAAGATATACCCAGTACATGTACATGTATATGTATTAGTTATTATTGTTAGTAGTAATTTATTGTTTAAATAGAGGTAATTTATGATACTGTATGTAGCTGGAAACTTATGAATGACTTAACATTCACTGCTTTTTGGTTTTGTTAAGATTATACAGTAATATACT